AGCATGGCATCTTTTTCTAGGGAATCATCCCTTCTGATAAAGGCTGCACTTCCTCTAGGTCAGATTTGTTAGTTCTTTTAGCAGTCCATGGTACTTTCAGCATTCTTCATGAGCACCACAACTCAAAAGCATCACTTTTTCTTCCATCTTCCTTGTTCATTCTCCAGCTTTCACATGCATATGAGGTGATTGAAAATATTATGGCTTGGTTAAGGCACACCTTTGTCCTCATGGAGACATCTTTACTCTTCAGCACTTGAAAGAGGCTCTTTGCAGCCAACTTGCCTAGTGCTGTACGTCTTCTGCTGCCCTGACTGCTACTTCAGTTGGTGTCAGTCATAGAACCAAGCAAAGTCAAGTCTTTGACAACATCAGTCTTTTCTCCATTTATTGTGATGCTGCTTATAGGTTCAGTTGTGAGGATTTTTGTTTTCTTTATATTGAGATGTCATCCATACTGCAGACTGTATTCTTCAATGTTCATCAATAAGTGCTTCAAGTCATCCTCACTTTCAGCAAGCAAACTTGTGTCATCAGCATATCGCAGGTTGTTAATGATTCTTCTTCCAATCCTGATGCCATATTCTTTTTTGTATAGTCCATCTTCTTGGATTATTTGCTCAGCATATGGATTGAATCAGTATGGGGAAAGGATGCAACTGTGACACAATCCCTTCTTGATTTTAAACCATGCTGTGTCCCCTTGTTCTGTTTGAGCATCAGCCTCCTGGTCTATGTACAGATTCCTCATGAGTACAATTAAGTGTTATGGAGTTCCCGTTATTCTCAATGTTATCCACAATTGGATATGATCCACACAATCAAATGCTTTTGCATAGTCGGTAAAACACAAGTAAACATGTTTCTGGTATTCTTTGCTTACAGCTAAGATCTATCTGACATCAGCAGTGATATCCCTCATTCCATGTCTTCTTCTGAATCCAGCTTATGTTTCTGGAAGTTCTGTGTCAGTATACTGCTGCAGCCGTTTTTGAATTATCTTCAGTAAGATTTTACTTGCATGTGTTATTAATATTGTTTGATAATTCCCACATTCCATATTTTGCCCATAGAATCTTTCAGTACTACAACTTGAGGCTTGAATTTTTTCTTCACTTTCTTTCAGTTTGAGAAATGCCAAGAGTGTTCTTCCTTTTTGGTTCTCTACCTTCAGGTCTTTACACATTTCCTTATAATAATTGACTTTGTCTTCTTGAGCTACTCTTTGAAATATTCTGTTCAGCTCTTTTGTGTCTTGTCATTGCTACCCATTCAAGAGCAAGTTTCAGAGTTTCTTCTGATGTCCATTTTGGCGTTTTCTTCCTTTCCTGTATTTTTCATGACCTTTTTCTTTCTAAAAGGATGATGTTCTTGATGGCATCCCACAATTATTCTGTTCAGTGTGTCAAGTCTGTTCTTTAGTTGGTCTCTAAATTTAGGTGGGATATAATCAAGGTCATATTTTGGCTCTCTTGAACTTGTTTTAATTGTCTTCAGCTTCAACTTGAACTTGCATATGAGCAGTTGATGGTCTGTTCCACAATCAGCTGCTAACCTTGTTTTGGCTATAGATAATGAGCTTCTCTATAACCTCTTTGCACAGATGTAATCAATCTCATTCCTGTGTATTCTGTCTGGTGAAGTCTACATGTATACCCATTGTTTATGTTGTTGAAAAAAAGTTTTTGCAATGAATAAGATGTTGGTATTGCAAAATTCTATCATGTGATCTTCAGCATCATTTCTGTCACCGAGGCCATATTTTCCAACTGCTGGTGATTCTTTGTTTCCAACTTTTGCATTCCAATCACCAATAATAAGCAGCATATCTTGATTGGATGTTTGGTCAATTTCAGACTGTAGAAGTTAGTAAAAATCTTCAATTTCCTCATCTTTGGCTTTGGTGGTGGTTGTGTAAATTTGAATAATAGTAGTATTAACTGGTTTTCCTTGGAGGCATATGGATATTATCCTATCACTGACAGCATTGTACTTCAGAATAGATGTTGAAACATTCTTGGTGACAATGAATGTCACACCATTCTTCTTCAATTTGTCATTCCCGGCGTAGTAGATCATGTGGTTGTCTGATTCAGAATGGCTAAAACCAGCCCATTTCAACTCACTGTTATCGATCTCTATGCATTCCATTTCATTTTTGGCAACTTGTAATTTTCCTAGATTCAGACTTCATGTATTCTATGTTCTGAGTATTAATGGTTATTTGCAGCTGTTTCTTCCCATCTTGAGTCATGCCACATCAGCAAATGGAGGTCCCGAAAGCTTTACTCCATCCACATCATTAAGGTCCACTCTACTTTGAGGAGGCAGCTCTTACCTAGTTGTGTTTTGAGTGCCTTCTGACCTGAGGAGCTCATCTCCAGCCCTATATCGGACAAAATTTCAGGGCTGTTCATAAAGTTTTCCAGTAATATATCAGACAGTATTTCATTGCTGTTCATAAGATTTTCAGTGGCCAATTCTTTGAGAAGTATATGGCCCCTTCCTTCTTCCAGTCTGTCTTAAGTCTGGAACCTCCACTGAAATCTGTTCATCATGCTGACCCTATTGGTATTTGAAATACCAGTGGCATAGCCTCCAGCCTCACAGTAACATGCAAGCCACCACAGTATGACAAACTGACAGATGAGTGGTGGGTACCATTTTTAGTACTCTAGTTTGCCTGCCCCCTTACATTTTCATCTTTGCTTTAGAGTAATGTTTGACCATTAGGTCTCATATAGATGATTTTTTAAAGGAGATCATTATTCACAGGTGAAATTCTTTTTTTAAAATGAACCGATATATTATTTAGCTAAAAGGTAACCTCAAGAGATAATTTTGTTTTAAAGTTTAAAGAGTATCTCAAGGCAGTGGTCTTTGGGAATCCTCTAGTCTCAATAAGCACAGTTAGTCTGGACTCTTTTAGACTGTGAATTCTTTCCTATATTTTTCTCCTGTTCTATCAGGATCCATCTATTGTACACCTAATCTGAATGGTCAGAAGTGGTCTCCATGTACCCTCTAGTTTTTCTGGTCTCAGCGTAGATGAAGCTGTGGTTTATGTAGTCTTTTAGTCCTATATACTACTTTCTTCTCTGAGTAGTTTTGTTCTGGATGAGTAGAGATCAATAGTTATACTTAGATGGCCACTTGCAAGCTTTTAAGACCCTGGCACTACTCAACATATTGAAATGAAGAACATATACTTTATGAACTGTATTATGCCAATTAATTAAGTTGTCCAACAAAACTATGGTCCGAAGTCTTCAAACCCAGAAAATTCTCTTGTGAGGTGTTTGGATATGTGTAAGAAGTATTAGTAACTATGTGCCTATAAATATATATAAATATGCTTCTATGTATATATATTTATAGATACATCCATCTGTGCACTAATGTATACTCACATTCATACCCATACACATATATGGCTATATACATATTTGTTAAACCACACACGTTTTTTGGTTGTTGTTACAAAATTATATTTGTCATATCCTTTACCAAAAACATCCTTTTCTCCTATGCACTTTTTATTGTCATAATTTACCTTGGTCAGGCTGTGAGCACTTCACCCACATTCTTTGCTTCCTTTCCTATAACCAAAAATATCAAATATCTGCTGACTTGAGAGTACTCCGCCTTCATCTCTGGTAACCAACAATGAGCATTGGTCTCGTTATCTATTCTTGTGTTCTTATAAAAGTGAGAACATACAATATTTATCCTTTTGTAATTGACATTTCATTCAACTTAATGTCCCCCAGATTCATCCAGGTTTTAAAATAGTTCAAGGACTCATCATTGTTCTTTTTCACTACATAGTTTTCCATTGCATGTATGTACCACATTTCATTTATCCATTTGTCCACTGTTGAACACTTTGGTTGTTTCCCTTTTTGCTATTGTGACTAACGCTGCAATGAACATAGGTATGCATATATCTGTCTGTGTCTCTTGTATTAGATCTCTTTTTGAGGAAGTAGCATACCATTTTCCATAGTAGTTGTACCATTTTACAGTCTCACCAGCCATGGATAAGGTTTCCATTCTTCCCACATCCTTGCCAGCATTTGTTGTTGTACTCTTTATATTTTTATAATGGACTTTTCTGAATGCTAAAATAGACTGGTGGTAGTGTCATCAAGAGACAATAGAATGTAATGATTAAAGCTTCAAATTCTGGTTCCTTTCTTACTGGCTGATTTGGGGCAAGTTATTTAGTCTGTCTGTGTCAGTTTCTTCATCTGTTAAGTGGGGAACATAACAAAACCCAAGATACAGCATCACTGAAGTGTTAAATGGGTCAGTATAAGTTAACTATTGATGATATTGGAGTCCCTGGATGGCTAAAATGGTGAAACACTCAGCTACTAACCAGAAGGTTGGTGATTCAAATCCATCCAGAAGTATCTCAGAAGAAAGGCCTGGCAATCTACAATGAAAAATCACAGCCATTGAAAACCCTATGGAGCACATTTATACTCTAAAATACATGGGATCACCATGAATCAGAATCAACCCCACAGCAGCTGAGTTTTTTGTTGATAGTATTATTATTGTTGTTGTGGCCATTATTATTACCATGCCCATTTTACAGATGAAAAAAAACTGAGTCTTAAAGAAGATAAGTGACTTGATTTAAAAGTAGAGGAATTTCTCTGACTCTAACTGCAATTTTCTAGAATGCTAGGCCTGAATCATTGTTTGTTCTTTTAATGGAAAATATAAAATATTGGAGTCTCTTTTATATAACCCCTATAGGCTCCATGGATGTGATAAGAATTATCAGCTTTTCCTAAAAAATTTCAGTCATTTTCTCCTCTACCAGAATGTTGAAAAATGAGACCGTATTTTCATGTGGGTTTTGACAAGACATCTTGTGCTATTGAAACTCTAGTCTGCTTTGCTAATCTCTTACTAGATAAAATAAAGCTTATACTCACTAACATTGGTCAAAACATTTAATCACTGTAATTTTGAATATGTTTTGACAGAGTGAATCGAAGATGTTTCAGTGTTGCACCATCTAGAGAGACAGCTGGTGAATTGTTACTAGGTAAGTCAAATTTTGAAGAGTTTTACACACACTTTACTCTGTCTTATTTTATTCTTAGATACTTTGAAGTTTTGGGTTTTTTTAAGAAACATTACCATGAAATCAGACAACTTTCTCTAACATTACATAAGTTATTTTGCCTTAGCATCATGTATAATGCAATGACTCATGAATGTGACGAAATAACATCTTCTTTTCTAAAAAATAAATGAATAGCATTTTATTTTCACAAATTTTATTTTCTACATGAGTGTACATTTTTATTTTGGCATTTCTTTAATTCTATATCAATTTAGGTTTTTTTAAAAAATGTAAATTATTGATATACTTACATGCTTACTGTTTTAATGGATGTGCCTGTGTGTAAAAATATATCCACTTTGAGATTGTTCATCATATATATTCTCTATTGTGTTTGTGAAAGAAAGGACAACATTGTCAATCCATAGATAACCATATAGTTATATTTGTCGGGAGACTTTTTCCTCAAGATAGGAAGAAATGAAATGATAACACTTGGCCTTTATGCCTATAAAGAACCAATTTGTATACTGTAGGCTGCTCGTCCCAAAACCAGTAGCATCAGCATCATATGGAAATTCCTTAGAAATTCACATTCTCAGTCTCTTGCCCAGACCTACTGAATCTGAAGTTCTGTGAGGCCTCCAGTGATTAACAAGCTCTCTAGTGATTCTGATGCACCCTTCAATTTGATAGCCACTTCCATTGGCTAAAGTTGTAGTCTCCATGGTCTAAGATATGGATCTTTAAGCTTATCCAGACGGAGCCCCCATCAAAAGGATGAAGATAGGCCCTACTGTGAGTGAACTATGCCAGTGGCTTATGTTGCACCCAGGACCCAAGAGTGACCAGCATCTAGTTGACAGGAACTCAGGGAAGTTCCTCACATGGAAACAAGACGTGTTAGCAACAGCCATCCTATAAGCCAGAAAAACTTTTGGGTTGTTTCAGGGCCTATTCTGCCCTATTGAGCATCTCAGTCATGAAAATAATTAAGGATTCCTCTTCACTAAAAATAATTTAGTTACAACTTGACTTCAACTAGTGTGTGACAAAGTGAAATAAATCTATCTGCTAGTAATATGAGAACGGTAATAACATTTATTTAGCATTGAGTGTCTGACACTATTATAAACATTTTATATATATTCTGATTTTATTCCCATAGTAATCATGTGAAATACCGCCCCAGTCTTTTTATTTTTTAATAAGGAAATTAAGACACATAGCAGTTAAGTGATTTATCCAAGATCTTATGGATAGTATTCAAAAATATTTGTTGAGTGCCAGGAATTGATTCTGTTTCAGGCAGAATGAGTCCAGAATTCATTTTTGAAGTTTTATATCAATTTATTTTCTATAGGTAAATGCGGAATGTATTTTGTGGAAGATAATGCTTCTGATACAGTTGAAAGTTCGGTGAGTAAATGTGTAAATGTGTGTTTACAGAACTCTAGACAGATTCCCAAAATGTGTAAATTCAGTATAACCAGAGAACAGGCAGAAATTTAGAGTTGATTTATTATAGATAGATCTATATGCCAAACATTTTTTTTTAAAGGTATTTTAAAAACAAGACCATACCATCTTTTCTGGCTTATGTTCTAGTCTCATAGCAGTTAATATTCTGGTACACCTAGGACCATAATATTATGAGTCACCTTCCTTCTAAGGAATAGCTGGTGGGTCTGAACCACCAGCCTTCTCGATAGCAGTGAAATGCCTTAGACACTATGCCACCAGAGCTCCTACATTCTAAACAGCTTGTCTTACTTCAGTTTATGTCCATTCTTTCTCATCATGTCCTCAGTAGCAACAAAGTAACTACTCCCTGCCACTCACAGTTTATTATCAAATACCTTTTCCTTCAAAAAGAAAGGAAAATATTGGGTGATTGAACAATTTAGTAATCCTCTTATTTATATATAGCTGGTTCTTGTTGTTAGTTGCTGTTGAGTAAGCTCTGACTTCTACTGACCCTGTGTACAACAGAATGAAACACTGCCCAGTCCTATGCCATCCTCACAATCCTTGCTATACTTGAATTCATCATTGCAGTCACTGTGTCAATCCATCTTGTTGAGAGTCTTCCCCTTTCACACTGACCCTCTACTTTGCAAGCATGATAGCCTTTTCCAAGGCCTGGGCCTTTCTGACAAGTTGGCTAAAGTAGGTGAGACCAACTCTGGCCATTGTTGCTACTAAGGAGCATTCCAGCTGCACTTCTTCCAGGACAGATTTGTTTATTCTCCTGGCAGTCTGTGGTATTTTCAATATTCTTCACCCACACCACCATTCAAAGGCATTAATTCTTCTTCAATTATCCTTACTCATTGCATAGCTTTTATATGCATATGAGGTGATTGAAAATACCATGGCTTGGGTTAGGCACACCTTAGTCTTCAAAGTAACATCTTTGCTCTTCCACACTTTAAAGACATCCCTTGCAGCAGGTTTTCCCAGCACAATATGATGTCTGATTTCTTGACTGCTGCTTCCATGGGCGTTGATTGTGGATCCAAGTAAAATGAAATCTCTGACAACAGATTTTCAACGGAGATTTCTCCATTTAGCATGTTGGTTGCTTATTGGTATAGTTGTGAGGATTTTTGTTTAATTTATGTTGCATTATAATCAATACTGAAGACTGTAGACTCTGCTCTTCATCAGTAAGTGCTTCAAGTCATCTTCACTTTCAGCAAGTAAAGTCATGTCACCTGAATATCACTGGTTGTTGATGAATCTTCCTCTAATCCTGATGACATGTTCTTCTTCATGTAGTTCTGCTTCTCAGAATATTTGCTCACCATACAGATTGAATAAGTATGGTAAAAGAATACAACCCTTATGCACACCCTTCCTGGTTTTAAAATATGCAATATCCCCATTGTTCTTTTCGAACGATAGCCTCTTGGTCTATATACAGGTTCCTCATTAGCACAATCAAGTGTTCTGGAATTCCCATTCTTTGCAATGTTATCATAATTTGTCATGATCCACATAGTTGAATGTCTTTGCATAGTCAATAAAACACAAGTAAACATCTTTCTAACGTGAGAGGTTCACCTTCCAGCACTGTATCAGACAGTGTTTCACTGTTATTCATTCTTTGCTTTTAGCCAAGAAACAATGTAGCATCAGCAATGATATCCCTTGTTCCATGTCCTCTTCTGAATCCAGCTTGAATTTCTAGTTCCTTGTCAATATTCTGCTGAAACTGTTTTGAATTATCTTCAGAAAAATTTCTGTTGTGTATTATGTTATTGATATTGTTCAATAATTTGCACATTCTGTTAGATCACCTTTCTTTGGAATGGGCATACAAATAGATCTCTTTCAATTGATTGGTTAAGTATCTGTCTTCCAAATTTCTTGGCATAAATGAGTAAGTGCATCCAGTCCTGCATCAGTTTGTTGAAACATACCAGTGGGTATTCCATCAGTTCCTGGAGCCTTGTTTATCACCAGTTCCTTCAGTGAAGCTTGGACTTCTTCCTTCAATACTACTGAATCTTGAACATATACTACCTCCTGAAATAGTTGAACATTGGCCAGTTCTTTTTGGGACGGTGACTCTGTGTATCCCTTCCATTTTCTTTTGATGCTTCCTGTATCATTTAATATTTTGCCCATAAAATCCTTCAGTATTGCAACTCAAAGCTTGAATTTTTTCTTCAGTTCTTTTAGCTTGAGAAATGCCAAGAATTTTCTCCCATTTCAGTGTTCTAACTCCAGGTCTTTGTACATTATAATATTTAACTTTTGTCTTCTTGAGCCTACCCTTTGAAATACTGTGTTCACCTTTTTTATGTCATCATTTGTTCCATTCACTTTAGCTATCTCCATTCAATAGCAAGTTTCAGAGTGCCCTCTGACATCTGTTTTGGTCTTTACTTCCTTTCCTATCTTTTCAATGACCTTTTTCTCTGGTGGCATAGTGCCTAAGGCATTTGACTGCTGCCTAGAAGGCTGGTGGTCCAAACCCACCAGCCACTCCTTGAAAGGAAGATTTGGCAATCTATTTCTGTAGTGATACTGCCTTGGACACCCAAGGAAGGGTTGCTGTGAGTCAGATCTGACTCAATGGCAGTAAGTTTTTTGGTTTTTTTTTTTTTTGGATGTTCATGATGTCATCCCACAACTCATCTGGTCTGTCATTGGTGTTCAAAGCATCAAATGTATTCTTGATATGGTCTCTAAATTCAGGTGGGATATAATCAAGGTCATATTTTGCCTTTCGTGGACTTGTTTTCATTTTCTTCAGCTTCAGCTTGCATGTGATGGTCTGTTCCACAGTCAGCACCTGGCCTTGTTTAACTGGTGATATTGAGCTCCTCCATTGCCTCTTTCCACAAATATAGAGTATCTGATTCCTGTGTATTCCACCTAGTGAGGCCCACGTGTATAGCTTCCGTTTATGTTGTTAAAAAATGGTATTTGCAATGAATATGTCATTGGTCTTGTAAAATTCTGTCATGTGATCTCCAGCATCATTTCTGTCACCAAGACCATATTTTCCAACTACAGATGATAGTTGTTTCCAGCTTTTGCATTCCAATCACTAGTAATAACCAGTACATTTTGATTATACATTTGGTCAGTTTCAGACTGCAGAAGTTGATAAAAATCTTCAATTTCTTCATCTTGGGTTTTAGTGGTTGGTGTGTAAATTTGAATAATAGTAGTAGTAATTGGTCTTCCTTGTAGTTGTATGGATGTTATACTGTCACTGACAGTATTATACTTCAGGATAGATCTTGAAATGTTTTCTTTTTGGTGATGAATGCAATGCCATTCCTCTTCAATTTATCATTCCCAGCATAGTAAACCTATTTGATTGTCTGATTCAAAATGGCCAATACAAGTTCTTCTCGGCTAACTGATGCCTAAGATATTGATCTTTAATGTATTCTATTCCATTTTTGAAAACTTCTAATTGAAAAGTTTTCATACTTTGTCCCCTGTATGCTCTACTATATTCGTGGATATATTTGCAATACATATACATACATATGTAGAAATATTTGCTGTCAAATCTATATATATTCATGGGTGTAGTCCCATTCACCTTCTCGCTCCTATTCAGTTTGAGTGTCTATTTATGTATCCACTCAGAGATTGTTGTTGTTACTGTTCTTATGGGAATGGGTATATAATAGTATTTACCTTTGTTGCCTTTAACTCCTGTGCTCTTTGCAGTATCTTCCTCTATGGTGATCATTTTGTGCTGACCTCGCCTTATTGTATACTGCCTTTCCCGTCACCCAAGTTAATATTTGTCTACCCTGTAGTTAGTGATTCACCTTCCTTTCCCCTCCCACCCCTGGTAAACTTCAAAGAATGATTCTTCTTCTATGTGTAAACCTTTTTTTTTTAGTTTTAAGAGCTTGTTTTACATTCAACATAACATGTACATTTAGTTTCATTCCCCATTCTCCATGTCCAACCCTAACCCAGTCTCCTCCCCTCCTTACCCTGCAACCCTCCCCCAGTGCCCCTCCTATTTATGCACTCCTGTTTGTTCTGCATTTCCTCAGTTTGAATGTTAGTCCTCTCGTGTCCCATGGTCTATTGCTCTAAGGGATGTATTACCATAGAGTATGTGGGTGCATCATCCTGGGTTGAGTCGTCTGCGTGTACATCTTACTAACTTTTGGACTGAGAGTTCGCCCCTGGGGGTGAGTTTTACCATGGTATTGGGAGTCTCACCAGATTTCATCTGACCAGTAATTCTGTTCATTATTGAGTTTTTGGATTATGTTCCACGTTTTCCCTCCCACTCTATTCAGGATCACCAGATTTGATCCTTTCCTGAGTGGTTGGCATTGGTAACTGGGCACCATCTAGTTCTTCTGGTCTCAGGTGCTGTTGTGTCCTAGGGCTGATTGGTTCTAAATGCCCTTGGGTGGTTTTTTTTTTGTGTGTGTGTGTTCTTCTTCACTTCCAACACTAGGAGACCATTAGCTGCATCTTAGATGGCTGCTTGAAAGCTTTTAAGACCCTAGTCGCTACTCACCAATGTAGGATGTTGTGTTAGATTGGGTTCTCTAGAGAAACACAAAAAACCAGCAAAGTATATATATATATATATATATATATATA